GCCGCGGGGCGTTTGCCCTCGCCCCCTTTCATTGGAATGCGGGGGGGGGGTTTTTGTGGGGGGGGGGGGGGGGATGTTGGTACTTTCTACTTCTATGATATCAGGAAAATTGTGTTTTGGTGATGGGATATGTTGCCCTGCTATAAAGACGACGGAGGCGGCAGTAGCAGCGTGGGTTCGAACCTCCCTCGGCGACCAAAGGCGAAAACAGAAGCGTCCGATTTCCAACAACCTAGAGAACCACACGGCATTATAGAATGCACACCCCAGCTCCGGGGATAGAAGGAGCACAGCCGGGGAGAAAATATTGGAACGCACCTGGCCAAGCCTCGCCGTCTCCCGGACAGCCACCTCAAAGTCGACCGCAGCAGCAGCAGCAGCATCGAACACGACCCTAAGAACGACCGCCATACACCGTCACCACCCCCTCCCTCCTCCTCCCCCTCCTCCTCCTCCTCCTCCTCCTCCTCTATCCCTCTATCCTCTCGTCTCTTTTCCCCCTTGGCTGCACCTTCTCCGGGCTCCAACACATCGACTCGGCAGTCGGGCGGGACGAGCTTCGTCCGGCGCATGGCCTCGAGAGCCTCACGCGCCTGGCTGGCCTTCCCCTCTCCGACGATGAGAGTGCGGAGTGGGTATGGCCTGCCGCGGGAAGCGCCACCGCCGCCACCGCCGCCGTTGTCGTCGTAGTCGTCGTTGTCGTTATCGTCGCCGTTATCGTCATCGTCATCGATATCATCGTCAGCGGCAGCGGCATCGTCGACGTTGTGCAAATCGAATTCGTGGGCAAATCGGTCGGTCGGTCGGTTGTTCTTATAGGCTATGATGCGCCCAAAACAGATACGTGCCTACTCCATGTGCAGTTAGGCTACGGCTGCCTTGACGAACACAGTAAAACACGAAACACAAAGCGTTGCGACCTCGCAGCTCCTGAATTTTCGGGTTCCATGCAAACACCAGTCCTTAAAGCTCGTGGCCGTCGGTACCATACCTCGCCGACAAAAGCACCAAGCAACACCCCCCCACAATGGCAACTCCTTCCCTCACACCTCTTGGTCCCGTCCGACGCGAAAGGGGCCCGCTTGGTCTCCGCCGTCACCACGGAGAAGAGCAGGCACGCCGCCAGAAGACCGTCCGCTTCCCACTCCGTCGTTAGCACCACCTCGTCGTACGCCTACGCAGACCGGCACGCCAGGCGGGGTGGTGAGGGGGAGGGATGGTCATCCTCGACAGGACATCGTTGGGTTACAGTCGTGAGATTTCCTTCTGTGAAGCCTGGGGAGGGGCTCTATGAAGGGAATGAATGGCAGGTAGTTCGACACGCGATTCGAAAAGGCCACCGGTCAAAAAACGCTGGCACTGGCTGCTGGCTATGACCATAATCCACTCCTCTTTTATGCTCTCTCAGCACATTTGCGGGTCTTTTGTCTTTGCCCCGCTGGTGGTTTCTCCGGCCGGCGATCTAACGACCCCGTTTTACCTACCGCCTCTGTCTCCCAGCACTTCAGGACAACCGCAACAACACACACGATGCCTACCGCCTAACTACAGCAACGACAACAATACCTACAACAATCGGAGTGCGGCTTATCGAAACGTAACAAAAAATACAGCACGAGCGAAACCAACAGATCACATTCCCCCCCACCCCCCCCACCCCCCCCCGAAGCCCCCGTTTGCCTCTACAGTGTCGCTGCGGTTCAAGAAAGGGTTGAGATACGGCAACAAACACTCTCATAGATCCGATTTTCTCTTGAATAACAGCATCTCTTAGAACGTAGCAGCTACTGCATCGCTGCTCTCTCACCGACACGTCGACGAAACAGCCCTCGGGGTGACCGCCGCCGTTGCGAGGAAGGCCGGTGCGGCGGTCCGGGGCCGCTATTGCCGCCGCTGCCGCCGAGTGACTCTGACCCAGGGCCTGCGCGAGGAAGTCGAGATACCGCCTGCCCAGGTCTGGGAAACCGTCCGAAGCAGCGGCTGCTGACTTGGGGTCTTGTCCCGTCAAGCTCTGTAATTGATGGGGATAGGGAGTCAAGAGTCGGATGGCGCGGGGTGGGTGGGGAGGAAAAGAAGCTCAGCTGGCCAATGCTACACCTGTTCGTATCAGACAGCCGTCAACAAAACAAGCTACACCAACAATAGAGCCGTCACTTTCAAGACGGGGTATTGTATTTCACGCAGAAACGTTCTGCTGAGCTGGAAACCCTGACAGTCTACGTGATCTCTGCCGCTACCGACAGATCACTGACCTCCGCCGCTCCCTCCGTGGTCTGCCCATCCACCCCGCCATTACCAGCACCTCTACCACCGACGGGACGGATAGCTTTGCTGTCGGCGCCGACATCAACCTTGCCGCCGCTTTCTTCGGACTGGCGTAGGAGCCGCAGCCTCCGGCGTCGGCATGTCACGGCCTCCCTCAGCCGGTACAGCGGGAGCGGCAGCCAGAACGTGCTGAGCACGCCGATGAGAAGCACCAACACGCCTTCCAAGACCTTGTACCTGATAGAATTTGTTGGCGCGTAGAGTTCCGTCGAGTTGCACAATGTACCCAGCGGTCAAAGATTTTGAGCATACGCAGGTGTGTGCTACGGTTAAAGTTTGGGGAATAATGAACAGACAAACCCCTTGCAATGCACTCACTCGGAATGATGAGAAGAGAAGAGCATGGCTATCGTGCCACTTTCCCGCATCCTCGTGCTGCCATCCACTCACTCTTGCGGGGTGTTTGAGTCCAAAACATGGAAGACGCGCAGCTCGTGCTTGGGTGTTCGGTGAGTGGTCTACATATACCTAGGAGTGATTTTCGGTTTCGATTTCGGCAATGAAGTGCGGATTTCGCATCGGGATTGCTTCTTCTGTGATTGGCACTCTCGGGGTCCCAAACAGATCTAGGCGGCGGGTCATCATTGACCGCGCAGCTCTTCCCCACCGCCTTTCGTAACGACTGGATGGAGACGATGATGATTCATGTAATGTGCTCACATTCCTGCCCCTGTGAGAGTCTCTCGCTTGTATTTTTTGGGGAGTGCGGAGCGATCGGTGTATTCGCTGCCAACAACCTCAAGGTTGGTGTGCTACCGTAGATTACGTACGATATCACCGCCCATTGGACCGATTTTCGAAGCTCGATCGCTCTGCAGCAGAGGGGAATGGCGATGCCGAAAATGGCGGCGTTGTACCCGTCTTCTCGAGAGCTTCCCGAAAAAACGTTTCATTTATTTAGTCGTCGTGGGAGTATGCAATCGAGCTGTGAATCAGTGCAGGGGGGTGTGACATCTTGTGTCGCCTACAACGGCATGTGTATCGTAAACACCTCTCGGGGTTGAATCAGACGTTTCTTCGACGAGAGTCAGCCACCAACACAACAAACGAACCAATGCCCCGGAGAGAACGACACCACTCAACGACCAGCCATCCGACCTTTGTATCGTGTAGGACGTGAGATCAATCTGCAGTCAGCAGTAGTTCTGCGGATGCAGCGTGCGGAGGCACACCAGGGTGAAGGGGTGAACCAAGTCGGTGTGACCTGGGGCATTCTTTCTCTATGAGATGGTTTTAGCCACAAGGCGCAATCCTTGCACATTGCATCATCATGGTACCGCACAAGGTTTGGCGCGGGTGCGCGTCTGCGTTACGAGCACGGCGAGACCAGCTCGCTTGCTAACCGCTGCACTACTGCTGGGTCACGGGTCACAGCAAGCTGTGCCTGATACGCGGTGGAACCACTTTTGGGGGGGGAATGTGTGTCGCATACGAAAGGTCACGTATTTGTTATCCCATCGTCCCTTGTTGTCCAAGTGAATCTGCCTGTACTACTGCTTTGGCAAAAGCCGCGCCGACGAGAGTCGTGTACGTGGGCATGCTTGTCTGTCGCCGGTGATCGCCGCTGGTGCCGTCGCGACCAGCAAGAGAGGGTACACGAAGTACTGTAGCAGACGCGGTGCCAATAGATCGGCGGCCAACAAACGTACAGCTTAGGCGCGGAGACAGAGAGCGAGCACTGACTACGTCTGCTTCAGAAGTTTGCTGTTGGTCCTTTCCCTTCCTCTAGTGTAGCACCGCACAGGGACGGTGTGACCACTGGAGAGCGCCGAGAGAGGCGTCGTTGCGGAAGCTCGCGGTTTCGTTGTGTATCGTCCCCGACCCCAGAAACATTCCGTACAAAAAAGGCGCGCGACGAGTATGTGTAGTGCATGTGTGCCTCTCATGCTCTAAATTCACTAGGATATTGGACGAGAAAATTAGTGTCTTCCTCTCACCACAGCAGAAGAACCAGCGCCGGCCCTCCCTTGCCGTCGCTCCCCATCGTGCCCGTGTGGTGTGCATACGCCCACGGCGGACGCGACCCAGCTGCCAGCACATATTTTTCTCGAGAGGCTCCGCGCTTTGACACCCCCCCAATTAGCTAATCCCCGGGGCCCCCAGACAGATCTCCTGCGAGAGAGGATCCACCACACCACACCATTAGCTCAACCATGCGCCGCTCACCGCTGCTGCTGGTCGCCCTGCCTGGGTGGGTGTGGAGTTTCCTTACCCCAGACCCGCTCTCGCGTCCTTCGCAGCCCGCTGCTGTGAGGCCAGCCGATGGGAGGGCACCCGCTCCCGGCAGGAGACGGGGTTCTTCAACAACGAGCTCTCATGCTAGCCGGTGTCGTCCTCTCTTCCGGTATGTGATGTGTGTGTGTGTGCGTCGGGCGTGTGCCGCGGGCTAAACCCCTACAGCGATGGGGGTGAATTGAGCTGATGTCCTGTGGCCATTTGGTGGAATGCGAAATAGATTCAGCGCGCACCCTCGGGGGCTCTCGTGCTCCCTTCGATGATGAGGCGTTTGAGAGGCGGCGCAACCTCATGGCAACCACCGCCGTTGTTTGAACTCATGTCACATCGCGCACACAGACGCGTTTACGCCTTCCCAGCTAGAGAGTACTCGCCTTGGTAGGTTTGCACAGTTACACACTGCTTCGGGGCGTGAATTGCGCGCCTATGCAACACAGGCCGTTCGGTGTTGACCATAAACATGCCTGCACGGATCTCTCGTGATGTCAAGACGCAATTTCGCTTGACCCGCTTCTCGGTATCGTGGTAATCAGCGCCTGCGAGAGAGAGAGTGTGCATCTGGCCTCAATCAGAGAGTGCATCTGCCCCCCAACCTCCATACAACCAAAGCGTTCGGTAGAGGCTTGAACCCGTTGAAGTCGGAGTCCATCCTGTGCGGATTTCGCCGACGCTGTCCGCTCGTGTACTTTGCTCCATCCCATCTTCGCCGCCGGTCGTGCTTACTTACCCCCCTTACTGCATGCATGCCTGTTAATCAGGAAAGGGTTTTCGAAGGGAGGCATGGGCAAGCAGGGGGAGCTCATGGAGCAGATGGCGAAGGCGCAGCGGGACAGGATGAAGAGGGAGCTCGAGGAGAAGCTGAGGGAGAGCGGGGACTTGCCCAAAGAGGAAGACGACCATGCCGCCAAGCCTGCCGCGGCGAAAGGGGCGGCGGCAAGAATCAAGCCCGACCGGTCCTGGCGACAAGCGGGCGCCGCCAAGCCCCCTTCCGCCTCGGCCAGCGCGCCAGCAGCGGCAGGAACAGGGGCGCCGGCGAAGACGGGCGCGGCAGGCGTCGGGGGTAAGGTGTGGCCTAGCACGCGGGAGGAGGGGCGGTCCGGGGACGAGTACGAGGAGTACAACCAGTTGCTGGAGAGCACGGGGGATCACAGCGGTGAGAGAGGGGAGGGGGGGGGGGGGGGGGGGACCCCCAATCCGGGGTGGCGGAATCCTTAAAACCTTGCCCCCCCCCCCCCACAAAACCGGGGGGGGAGAAGCCGGGGTTTCCCCGGACCCGGGTT